CATGAAGCTCGCTGCGAGACAGCCTTTTTTCACTCAGTACTATTAATATAAAACATGTGAAATTGGGGGGGGGGGCGGTTGTTTTGAAGAGGAAGCAGGACGAACCAGAAGCAATATATATATACTAGCCAATATACCCGGCTTTGCACGAGATTGTATTAGGACCCCGATCCTGGTGGGATCACGATCCCGTAGGACCCCAATCGTATTCTGACCCCGAACCCAGTGAAATCCCGTTTTCCGATGGGATCATGCTTAGTGCAATTTTGTTCGAATAAGCTTTTAGATCACATTATATATTCCCTTAGAACATTGTAGAAGCTTCTGGAAGATTCTAGATTTAATTTAATATGCTCTATGAAATCTGTAAAAAATTACTTTTCTAAATAATTATTTTTCAAATACGAAATATTATGCAACTAATTTTTATTGTCATAACTATAGTACATTTCAACTAAAATGGGGGCCCATTTAATAAAGTACCTTTTTAGTTATGTCTGAGATTGGCAGGAGGAGGGCCATACAAATCATTCAGATAAATTATAGAATTAAAATTTGTCCCATTAAAATTGATTTAAAAATGTCATAGCTATAGCTTTTTAAAATTTTTGAACTTTCTGGAAAATTCTAGATGGGATTAGAGACCGACCGAATTTTTGCTTCGGCTTCGGTTTCGGCGCCGAAAGTGGCCATTTTATCATTTTCGGCCAAGTTTCGGTTTCGGACGAAACTGAAAAGTTAACTTTCGGCTTTATTTCGGTTTCGGCCGAAACTGAAAATTTAACTTTCGATTTTTCTTCGGTTTCGGCCGAAATTGACTTAGACTTTCGGCCATCCGGCCGAAAGTGACTCATGTTTTCGGTCAATTAAAACTCAGCAAAAGCTATTATATTTAACTACAAACTAAGCGATAATTAAGAACAAATTAAGCGATCTTTGTGAACAAACTAAACGATATTTAACAACAAACTAAATGACATTTATGAACAAACTAAACGATATTTAAAACAAACTAAGTGATCTTTAAAAGCTATCTAAGCGATCTTTAATAACAAACTAGATGATCTTAAAGAACAAACTAAACTATTTTTAAGACCGAACTAAATAATCTTTAAGAACAAAACAAATGATCTTTAATAGTAAACTAAATGATTTATAAGAATAAAATAAGCGATCTTTAACAGAAAACTAAATTTTCTTTAGGAACAAACTAAAAGATCTTTAACAACGAACTGAGCGATCTTTAACAACAAACTAAACGATCTTTAACAACAAACTAAGCGATCTTTAAGAACAAACTAAACGATCTTTAACAACAAACTAAGCGATCTTTAAGAACAAACTAAACGATCTTTAACAACAAACTAAACGATCTTTGAAAACAAACTAAGCGATCTTTAAGAACAAACTAAACGATCTTTAACAATAAACTAAGCGATCTTTAACAACAAACTAAATGATCTTTAACAACAAACTAAGCGATCTTTAACAACAAACTAAGCGATCTTTCAGAACAAATTAAGCGATCTTTAAGATTAAACTTTGCGATATTTTAGAACAAACTAAGCGATCTGTATGAACAAACTCACAGATCTTTAAGAACAAACTAACCGATCAATAACAACCAACTAAACGATCTTTAAAAACAAATTAAGCGATCTTTTAGAACCACAATTTTTAGAGACCCGGTTTAAAAAAATAATATTTTGCATTAATTTCCCCC